GACTAACATCCAATTATTCATAAAAGTATCTATTATATTTTAAAATAGTTAATTCTGAAATTAAAGGCCATTTCTTTCTCTAATTTCTTTAATTCCATTTAGAAAGAAATAATATAATTAATATAATTAAAATTATATATATTATTTAAATTTACTGTATAATACTAAATACTATTATTTATCAAATAATCGTATATACAAAAAAGTATATTTAAATATTATGATATATGAAGTATATTTCTTTAATATTATATGTCTCATGTTTTTATATATAAAAATTTTAGATCATAAAAATGATTGTATTATCATATAAATATATAAACATGATCACTATCATTTAAAATTAATCATATAACTAATCTGACAACTTAGTCAATGAACTATTTTGTTAAATGTAAAACTATCAACTGGTTGGTTCATTCATATAAAGTACCTATTAAGAGTTCTTTTTCTAAAATTATAAAATATTCAATTATACAAGTAATTAATGATCATTGTTAGTCCTTGATCAATCATTGAATTAATATTAAATCTTTTATCATCTAATTAAAGAACTTTTCTTTAATAAGATCTGATTATTTAGATTTTTGATTAGGTTTTAAGTTAATAATTATTGGCAGACAAAATTGTGTAACTTGATTAGTAATTCTATTTTTTTGAACAAAAAGGTAAAAATTTTTTGATCACATAACAAAAACAAATGGTTAATTGGTTTTTGTTGAAATTTTTTGTGATCAGAAATTCCCAAACTCAATTCTGAATTTTGATCACATATTTGAATTATTAACAGATTTGCGACTAAAAACCTGAATGATCAGAAATAAACAAGCCTAATATCAAATTATTTTATCACTATTTTTGTTATAATTTTCTCACAAATAATAGAATCTCTTAGAAATGAAGAATCAATTTCTTTTCAAAAATGAAAATTATATGGTTACTTTCAATAGAACCATTTGCTTATATTATATAAATATTTCATGTTCAAGATGAATGTTATTTTGTCTTATTATTAAAAACAATATAATGTAAAAAACTATAAAAAAAGTTTATTGTTATAGGCGTAAATTTGTGAAATGAATTGAAAGACTGGCTTATCTTATTTTTTTTTTCTATTATTTTAACGTTCTTATTTTTTTTCTAGTTCTTGATCAAGTTCCATCTGATCAGTTTGTCGTAGTAAGGTAAGTGACAGATTTTTTTATTTTCTTTTTTTTCTATCATTTTAATGCTCTTATTTTTTTATTTTTTTTCTAACTCTTGATTAGGTTCCATCTGATTAGTTCATCATAGCAAAGATAAGGTTTTTTTGTATTGTATCAGATTACTAATCTTTTTTTTTATTTTCCTTTTTTTATTTAGACGATTTTAGATTTAGATTTAGATTTTAATTGGATTGTTCAAGTGAAAGTAAGTTGCGAATTTATATTATTTTTTAACATTGTTTTGGATTACTAATTGTTTTGTCTTTTTAATTTAATCAATCAAATTAATAGTCAATTACGCCTTGTCTACCCTTAAAAAGTTAAGCTTAAATTTTTATATATATTTTTTTGATTTAGTAAAAAGGAGTTGATCATCTATGCCATTATAGATCCTTTTTTTACAATATCTAATAATTATATTATACAAACTGATTTTAATTTTTTTAAAAAAGGCTAGAATAGAAACATAAAAATTTGTAAAAAAAAAATACAGACATTTTTTTTGATATATATAAAGAACTTCTGTTCCATTAAAATATTACAGGAAAACAGTATACAGAAACATTATAACGAATTACTGAAATAGTATAACGAATACAGTAACAGTAAACAGTAATAATGTTTTCTTAAAAATGGCATCAAGATTTTTTTGAAAATCTTTCCTTTTTTATATATTACAAGGCAATAATCAGCGGGCAATATGAACACAATTTTCCTTTTAAGTCAATTTACTTACCTTTTTTTATATTGGTCAAATATTATTTTTTATCAACCAAAATGTATATTTCGTTAAAGGGCAATATTTATGATAAAAAATCAGGTCAACTTTGTTGTAATGAAGTGCTAAAATGAAATCTCATTTGAAAATAAAAAATTAAGATCCATAATTTTTTTTTTTTCAAAAAGTAATTAATAAGAGAAAATTAAATTTTATAAAAAGGAGAATTTTCGATAAAACTTGGCCAGCTTCAAGTTTTCCTCGAAATACATAAATTTTAACATATACTATATTTTTATTATAGTAAATTATGACACGTTTAATTCCCTCATAATTAAAAATAAAAAAAAAATTATTAAAGATATGCGGCAAGGAAATATTTGAAACTAAAATAATTCTTGTATAAATGTATCTTCAATTATTATTGTAAAAGCAAAAAGATTTGAATTTTATTTTTTATTTTATTTTTTTTTTTTGGAATTGGTTTTATTCGAACCCAAGTATTCGAGAATTCAAATGATTTTGAATAAATCTCATGATATTGCTGGGAATCGGTGAAATCATAATTTTTCATTTTTCATAAAGTAAGAAATAAAATTGTCGGTACGAATTACATACATGTATCTATGGAACTTGATTAAACGTACATTATTTAACAAGTTTTCCAAGAATTTTCATCACTAAATACATATTTGTTCTCAAGAAAATTTATCAAATACTACGAATTTAGCAATGTTAAATTTATGAAACGATTTTAACGAAAGAGTTTGTTTTTATTTAAAGCATGCCAAAACAGCCAGAACCAATTTTTTTGAACAACATTACTGTTAAATAACTTTTCGTGAGGTAATACGAAATATTATATAAAATTTAGTAAAAATCATTTTTATATTAGTAATATTTAGCTTGAACTCCAACGTGATATTATCAACTTTTACGGGATAACTTCAAAGCAAAGTATAAATATATTTCTATTTTTTTTTTTTTTAACTTTTTCACATTTTTTTAAAATATTTCCCAAAGTTGAATCAATTTATTGATTTAGAATCAGATAAAACATTCAAGTAGTTAATTAAATTTAATTATAAACTAGATTAGGTTGTTGTGCAGCGAATGTGTCGCCGTTAGATAACTACTTTCTTGATATTTGCCACCTAACTGCTCCGCCGTGACGAGCCGAAGGGTCCATCCGACCACGTTCGTCCGAAAGGGTAATTAAAAAAAATATAAAAAAAAAAGAAAACGAATTAAAAAAAATTAAAAAAAAAATAAAAAGATTAAAAAAATTAAAACCCGCGATTATAAAAAAAAAAAAAATTAAAAATTAAATTTAAAAAAATTTAAAAATTTAATCAATTCGATTTTATTCGAATCGATTCCAATCCGAAGGGTTCATCCGAAGTATCAAATGACAATTATTTTGCATTTTTATTTTACATCGAGTTTGATCCATATTACATTTTGTCGTTAAACAAATGGGAGGTAAGCTATTAAAATCAACTTACGGATCATATGATTTACTATGTTCGTAACTCGATTTTAATAGCAAACCTCCCAAATCTGCATCCGAAATAATTTATGAAGACGATATAATATAAATATTTATTTTCCAAATTTATTTCCCTTTACTTAAATTTAAGTATTTTTGTTTTTATATACCGATCTCACAAATCGTTATTTTATTAGTTATTCCACTTTTAAATTAACATTATCCGAAGAAATCATTTTACAAGATAAAATACCCGGAAATAAAAAATCCGTTGATAACTACATATTTAAAAAAATCCTAGCATTATGAAAATTTCGTCTATAGTGTGATAAATGTGTTCCGTTTCCTGTAATTCTTCATTTCATTTTCTTTCTTGAAAAAGTTCAACCAACAGGTCTGAATTAATCGAACACTTCATTCCGCAAAAAAAATCAACAATCTAGGGCTATATGATATTAAAGGGTTGGCAGATGATATTACGGCCCATCTTATATGATCTAAAAGTAAGTAAATAATATAAATATTTATTTAACTTGCAAATTTATCGCTTTATTTAACTATCATAATTACATGAATCATATTTATAAATAGATTATAACCAACCATTTTTTTTATTTTTACATCAAAATGACATAAACGAAAGATTAACCTGTTACGTCTTTTAAAAATATTGATGTAATAAAGGAAGGATGATGTAGAAAAGAAAATGTAGAAAGAAAAAAGTTATTATCACTATAGATTCTTTAAATTATATTTTATCATTTTTATCGTAATATTAAAATTTTTACAATCAATCAAGTCACCTGATCCATACTATACGTGACATAAACCATGAGGCTATGTAAGTGGCTGTACTTCCCGTTATTTATAGCCATCAAATTACACTGCCACAACCTATTATGTCACGTTTTTAAAAATAATTTATTGTAAAAAGAAATTTTGTATGAAAAGTATGAAAAAGGGCAAAAGAATGAAATCGTGTCCTGCATAAACTTAAATTTAGAATATACATGAATAAAATGTGATAACGAATTATTTCATAAAAAAAAAAAAAAGTAAATTTATATGATACTATGATGATGAAAATAAAAAAATAAAAAAATAAATATTTCGTTCAATTTTTGAACTTTTGAACGAAATATAGGATGTATGAAATACTTTTTTAAATGAGGCTTTGCTATCAATCTTCCGAATTTATCATTTTTATGATTGATCGAATCGAGATTAAAATTTCCTAAAAGTTTACATAAACATATTTTTTTTTAAATCTTCGATGTAATTAATGTTCCCGAAAGGTTAGATAAAATTCAAATCTTCGGTTAATTAAGAAATACATTATAATGGCTGTGAATTAATTTAAATTTTTTTTAGCACAGCCACGATTCGAACAAATTTAATAATGAAGGATTGGTTTATTGATAAAAGGTTTTTTTTTTTTTTTTTTTTGGATTTTTTAAAAAAAAAAAAGTAAACAAATAAAAAAAAAAAGAAAATTTTTTGTTAATAACCTTCATTTTTCGTAATATCAAAAAAAAAAAAAAAAAAAAAAAGAATTTCATTGATTTATTTTCTCTCTTATCGTTAAATTATGTGCCAAGATAATAAAATCGATGAAGATTGTTCTTATGAAAAACGGTACACGTCTGAAGAGAACGACAACGATCATGAAAAAGGTACAAAAACGGTAACATTCGATCATGATACAACCTACCAAGATGTTACCATTGCGGCCGCAGAAAATTCTCCGGCAGCAAATCAATCCAAAGATCGTCCAGGATTTTTTCACGAGACTTCAACAAAAGTCGCCTTTGGTGTGGCTATATTAATTGCTTTTACTATTGGAATCATCACAATTTACTTTATTAAGTGCAAACGCCGCAGAAGGAAAAAAAATAGGGTTTCTAGACACCAGCTTCAGCTAAAACCAAAACGTACTAGTAAAGATGCTAAAGAGATGCAATTTGTTGAGGATTAAGAGACAATTACAATCATCATCACCATCAACAATAGACATGTATATAGATTTTTAGGTTTTACAGTTCGATAGGTCAAATTTTCTTATTTATTACAAACTTATTATAATTTTAACTGTAAATTGTATTTCCTTTCTAAAACATATTATAAAGAATATTTATTATTAAAACACAATCTTTATAACATATGTTAATATAAAGTAATAAAAATTTTTTTCATTATTATTATAATAATCCTCCTTATAATGGCAATTCCGATCGAAATATATGGGCCACAAAATAAAATTTTTTTCGAATTTTAGCAAGATATAATATTATTACAATAATTAAGTTTCGGCATTATTGTCATGAATTTCTTACAATGAATTAACCAAGACAATACATCTTCTCATAAGGATATTGTGTTTTAAAAAAATTACTCGTGGATAGTTTTGGATGCCTTGCGTAATGATCAATGTCGTTGTAATTCTTCATACTGTAATTAATATTTACCGGAATAAGGAACCTTGTATGTTATTAAGTATAAGATAATATCGATATAATCATTGCCCGTCGCTGAAATTTCGGTCATAGAATTTTTCGGAAAATACTAATAATATCTTATTTAAGGATTCCGAGAATCCGTACGGAATAAAATCATTTCTTACATAATCGTCGCTAAATTTTTCCCTCATATGAAACGAAAATAAAAATGTAGTACACAGTTACATTAAACTAGATATGTTTAACGAGAATCAAAATAACTTTCATCGATTATAAAATAAAAGCATTAATAAAAAAAAAATTATTTTTGAAGCATGCATTCGAGTAATTAAAACATTTTTAGATAAATAATAATATAATAATAATAAAAATACACACTACTCTTAATTATTAAAACTAATTTCATGGCCCCAATCTGCATATTCACAATAAAAATCATTATAAAACTTGTAAAATTCTTTGTTTAATATTTTATTGATCAAGCCTTTGTTTGTATAAACTCTAAAAAAAGCTTCTTTTGAAATACTATATGATTGAAGATATTTATGTCTCGGTCATGACCATGACCATTAACATTACTAGTTTATTTTTTTAGTTGCCTTTTTTACATACTGGCACATGGATGAAATTATGTTTTGTTCTAAAATGTTCGAGTACGAAACCTCTTTTATATATTACCGACAATATTACACGTAATGTTTTTGTTCTAAGGTATTCCAAAATGTTCATTTGTTTGGTATAATTTTTTTTGTTCTAAAACCTTTCAAGATGTTTGAGTACGAAATCTCGGGTTTTGCTTACTGATATAATAATTGTCTTGATCCTAATTGTTATTATAAAAGATTCCAAAATTTTCCATTATTTGAAAGTAATATATTACCGAAGATATGATACGTTATGTAACCTTCCAAATGTTCGAGGTGTTTACTTACTTATTATGGTCATGGTTCTAATTGTTAAAGGTAATATTCTAAAATATTACTAGTTTCACGCGATCAGCACATATAAACTGTGCCCACTTGAGACTTTATTTTCTACTTTTTCGCTCAAATAAGAACAATTCTGCAAATGCTCTATGGATTACTATTTCCCACTGTATTATTATTTATACACGCTATTGTTGGTCTCTGAAGGAACGTGAAGAAAGTTTTTAAAAACTTTATAGGCGAAAGCGATGTTTCTTTTTTCTTTTTCTTTTAATAATAACTCTTTGCATAATTTTTCTTTTCCTAATCTATTAAGAGAAAACCTTGACTACCAACGAAATGAAACGAAGGAATTTTCGATAACGCCACGCTACATAAAATGAAGAACTTTCGATTCAAGGTAAAATTATTGAAAAGGCACTTATCGCGCTCAATGTTATTTGATATCAAATAATTAAGTTTTAATGATACTTTATATATTGTGAGTGATGAAAGTGTCCAAGGAATAATTCTGTTATGCTCAATTTCACTTAATAAATTTTCACGAAAATCAAGAATGAAACTATCATGTGATGAATACTTTAAAAAAAATTTATATATACATATATAAAGTTAAGGTTGATTTATTGAATTTAAAGTCTATCTACTTCCCTCCATTTTTCACCGAAATTTTTCACAGCTATTTTTTTATTTTTTATTTATTTTTTAGTCGGTTGGTCCCGGCGCAAAAAGGTAAATCCCACATCTAACGGATTATGTTTACATTCCAAAACAAAAACTCTCAGATTCCAACCATGTCCTAAAGATTTTTTTTGGAAATGAAACATGTTGCCCTACTACATCCAAGGAAAGGTAGCAGCATAATTTTTACCGGTATCATCATGTAATTATACTTGCTTAGTTAACGTCGTCTTGTCATTTTAGCAGCAGGGTGGTCCGAATATTGTTAAGAGAAACGATGACCATCCACGCCGTCAAAAGAACGATAGTCTACATCGTGTCCCATAAAATGAAATTTTTTCTAAACACAACCTTATTCTTTAAATTTGAATACTTTATTAACTTTATTAAAAACTTCTTATTTATATCTCCTTTTATATTTGCTTAAATAACAAATGTTAAAAATTGTAATTTCTTATTATTTTCTAAGCAAAAGATCACTAGAAAATATAGGAACATTAAGAGAGCTCTTTTAAAATTTCTTATTTTTAAAAGAAATATATATAAATAATAATAATAATACACAAATGTCCCAACGTAATAAAAATTATATTAACATGTCATGTAAAATTCTATCAAATTAAAAGATATTTAAATTTTGAAATATTCGACGCAGATATTATAAGATATAAATACTAATTGTCTAAAAAAAAAAATATTTATATTGTCAATAGGATAATATGTAGATATGAGCAATGCTTCATGTCTTTGTTAGTATTTGAATAGTTTCAAATTTTTCCTGATAATTAATCCAAAATTCTAATCATGATCAATTTTTTTTTTTTTTTTTTTTTTTTTTTTTTGATTCATGGGCTTTATTTAATTCGACGTTTCGTGTAGTACGATATTACTCGATCCGACCAATAAGGTTTAGAACAAAATTTGTCAATATGTAATTTGCTAGGTATTACCTAATTAAATTTGATCCACTCTGAAATTACTATAAATATCATTCATTTCATTTTTAAATTTCTTTCTCCCTTTTTTTTTTTATTTTTATATAACGACAATGGCAGTTCAATTTCTTCCGCTGTTGTCCAAAAATTTTATGAATATATTAGATGATGATGAACATTACGATGTTACAATTGAAGTTGGACAAGACCCCGAAGTGAAAATATTTCGAGCCCACATGATTATTTTAAGTTACCGTTCAGCATACTTTCGTAGAACTTTATCTACATACGAAAAAAATTCTAAGAACGCTCTTGTTCACATTAAATTACAGAATATCGCTCCTAACATCTTTGAAATCATTTTAAAGTAAGTTGTTTAATAAATAAAAAGGTGTGCGTTTATTTATATTTCTATATTTATACTAATTTGAATACTTTGAAAGATATATTTATGGTGGTACACTCTTGTTGGATGGATTGATACCTTTAGATGTATTTTATATCTTGGTTGCAGCTGAAATACTTAAATTACATGAAATTGTTGATTATTTACAACCATATTTGATTGAGCGCAAATCTAAATGGATGAAAAAACACATTTCATTTATTCATAATACGATATTTCAGCATAACAACTTCATCGAACTTCAAAATTTTTGTATAGATTTTATGACAAGATATCCTGAGAAAATATTCAAATCACCTGATTTTGCTTGCATTTCAGAAAAAGCTTTAATCTCTTTGATTAAACGAGATGACTTACGAATGGAAGAAATTGATGTTTGGGAGCATATATTGAAGTGGGGACTTGCACGAAATCCCACTTTACTGCCAGATCCTGAAACTTGGTCTGACGATAATTTCAAAACAATGAAAGTTACCTTGCAAAATTGTTTATCATTTATTAGATTCTTTCAATTATCATCAAAAGAATTTTTGGAAAAAGTGATACCTTACCAAAAGCTATTTAATGCTCAACTTTTTAAGGATCTACATTTACATTATTTGGATATCGAGAATAAGATCATTAAGATAGTTCCAACTATTCAATCAGCAAGAGGCTTAAACATTGACTCGAAATTGATTACAAATAAAATAGCAGCATATATTGCAAGTTGGATAGATAAAAAAGAAACTAAGCATCCTATATACGGATATACACCTTATAATACTTTTGATAATCCGTATGAATTTAAATTATTATCACGCACAAGCCGGGATGGATCTACTCCTGAAATTTTTCATAAGTTCTGCGACAGCAAACCAAGAACTGTAACAATTGTTAAAGTGAAAGAAACTAATGAAATTCTTGGAGGATATAATCCTTATATATGGGAATCAAGCGACGAATTTAAACTGTCATCAACTAATGAAAGCTTTATATTTTCATTTACATTTATGAACTTAAAAGATGCTGTTTTAAGTAGAATAAAAAATTACGATTGTGCAATTGTATCTTTTATCAGGACTGGTCCAATTTTTGGCGGCGAGGATCTTCAAATTGTCGGAAACTACGGTATTTGTAGTAATAATCACTATGAAAAAAGTATAAGATCTGTAAAAGAAGTATTCGTAATAGAAGAGCATGAAACATTTCAAATATTTAAAAGAGAAACAGATTAATTTGAAACATTATAATATTATAACTTTATATTCTAAGGAGAATTTGTTGAGTTCTTTCATGAAAATAAAAAAGAAAGAATTCCAAGTACTTTATTATCGTCTTAGGTTATCATCAATAAATCATTAAATAGTAATTTTTCGTAAATTGTTTCCTTATCTATTATATATAAATAAATGGATGCAGTGTATGATCCAACTTCATGATCAGTCAACCAATTAATGTATTCAGCTCATTAACTGTGTTCTTCTGATTGTTTGTCTTCACTGCAATACTTTGCAGTTAGATCAGTTATAAATACATAATTTGAGTTATGTGTATTCGATATATATAATTTTAGAGGTTAAAATAAGTAATTAATTACTTAAAATATATTTATAATTATTATAGTTTTTTAGTATATGAAGATCAAATATCATTTCTGTCTATTTGCATCATAAAGCTGAAGTTACAATCATAGGTATATCTCACTTAAAGTTGTTAAAGGTGGCTGATGCCTTACAGTTTGAACATATCAACCAATAGAGATGTCGAATAAGTAATGCCATCATCGTCAATATGGGAATTAGAAGGTACAACCTGGTCGCACATATTAAAATCGTTCTACGTTAATCCAATCAATGCCTTTAATCCATTTCGTATCCGTTTTATTTTATTTTATTTCATTCAACATTTAAGAAATCACGTTTTTTAACATTAAGAAAATTTCGGCCAATATATTTATCAAACTCCTTTAATTTTACGATTTTCATAATTTCATTTAATTTTTTAAACTTTATTGTATCAGTTAAAATATTTTATTCTTGCAGTCGATCTCTCTTCCGATCTCAGAAGTATAAAAGTTTTTTATTACGTTCAATATATTCAAATACATTATTAAAAAAAAATAAAATAAATGCGATGTAAAGTCAAATATTCATTACTTTAACGGTTCGTGCTCAATTGATTCGACGCACATTTTTTATTATTATATAGTTTGTACACACATAATAGTTGTAATTTTTGATCTAAACATAAATAAAATCTAAAGGACAGTAAATCCAGTCGCTAGTCAGGTGTTATACTATTATCAAGTAGATGATAAATTTTATTAAAAAAAAAATCATTGTACAACATTTTGATAGTAATCAATACTCGTATATTTAATTTAATTTCAAGAAGCTATTACAGTTCAACAATTTTTTTTATAATTTACCCTTTTAACTACAAAACTTCTACGCCACAATTAAAATTTTGACGTGAAGGCAATAATAGTATTTATTTATTTAATTTATTTTTTTAAAGAAAATGAATAAAAAAATAAAAATAAAATACAATAATATTAATATTAATAATATTAATAATTAAAGAAAAAAATTGGAAGCAAATTTCTTTGATATTACTATCAAAAAGGAACTCTGACCAGCCATCTTTATGAAACAAAAATTTGCTTGGTACTCATTCTATTTGCTACAATTCCATTGTCAATGCTATTTTACATCAATGTTGGTTTGCTGCAGCTTGTCCTGATTATCCTAATGTTCCAGTACTCGATACAATGTTTATAACACGAAGAATCAATAGCTTTATCGAATCATATACCAAACTCGTTACTATATATTTTCTTCGATTGTAATTGTTGTAATCCTGTTACAAAGTATATTTGGAAGTCAGTGTCCAATTCCAGCTGGAGCTAAATTTACTTCGGAATTTTCAATTCTAGTGTATGAAAATGTCAAAAAGAAAGATTTTGATATTATAGATTTTTATAAAGCAGATAAAGCATCAAGTCAAAATCTAATTAATAATTTAAGTGTTATTTAAGAAATTAATCAAAATATTGGTAATTATAATTTAATAATTTCTTTAATTTAACACATATATTTTTAATTTAATAGAGGTAAAATAAATAAGTAATTTAAATATAAAAGTAATATATATATATTAATTTATTTATATTATTGCATTTTTATAATAGATGAAAATAATTAAAATCTATTTATAAATATATTAAAATTTTTTCTTTTATTTTTTTATATTATGATAATTTTTATAAAATATTTATTCAGTAATACTGTATATATAATAAATTTTATAAAAAATAAAGTTTGTAATTATTCAAATAAACTCTTATTTGTAAGCTAAATTATAATGATAAAATTAATTAAACTATGAATTATTAATTCTTTATTAAATTGGTTATTAATAAGTATTCAATTTAATAATTAATATAAATAAATTAAATTAATTATAAAATAAATAATAATTTATTTATTTATTAGTTAGAAATTATTTTGTATTATTAATAATAAATATTATATAATTGATAATTAGTTCAGAGTGAAGCAAAGAATTATATAGGACTAGATAATGTGATACAAAAGTATCCCAATGTCTGCTCACTTACAGCTTGAGTCAATACTGATTGGCTTTTACAATATTTTTTTAGTTAAGGTTGTTCTGGACTTAATAATGGTTCCCTTTTTCTAATTTATAATACAATTTTAATATTTGTATTAATTATATAATATAATATTTGAATCAGAATTTAAATTAGAATTTAAGTATAGGATTTGAGAATTAACTTAAATTTGTATTTAAATACTATGTATTAAAATATTAATTCAAGCTCAATTATTTATAAGATAATTATTGCTTAATTTAGAAATTTAATGAAATAGAAATTATTAATATAATAACTAAAAAAATATTATAAAATATCATAATAAATGAAATTATATTTTATATTTATTAAATAATGCATTTATAATAAATTATTAAAATTAATCTTTAAGATAGAGTTAATATTAATTATTTTAATAATAAATTTTTATTCTAACATGTAATACAACAATTATAGTATTATATAGGATTAATTATGATAAGAACATTGTAAAATAATATTATTTAAATGAAATAAGTTATTTATATTAAGAGTTAATAACAGCAAAATTGTCAAATAACTATATATGATCTTATATATATATATATAAGCTAAGAATATTCTTTACAGGATTCATTAAACAGTCCTTAATAACTTTTACATCTTTTTATAAAGTATTTTAAAAAGCAATTTTGATATATATATATATTCAATATAATATATTCAGGAAACTGAAATAATACAACACAAATTGATTTCTTATTTTTCAATTTGTGTTTATTAAAAATTAAACACAAGTTTATAAGTGAATAGCTAATATCTAATATTAGTAAAGTTAAAAGTATGCATTTTCTTATTATACTAAAATTGGTTTATTCTACCAAAAGTTATTATTTAAATAAGTTGGATTAATGTCTGATTGAATTTTTTCTCGTTCAAATCCAATTATGCAATTATAAATAATAGTTCTATATTCTATAATATAAATTCTTTTTGCATGCTTTACAATTGAGTATGATAGTTTTTAGTATCACAAGCAAGGATGTATTGAGATCCTTCTTTAATAATAGTATTAGCAATTCGATTTGATTTAGATATTTTCACAGTAAATATCTTCCATTCATCCTTTGGACATTGATAACCAATAGCAGTAATTAAAGGGATTTTAGAAAATTGTTGATTAGTATTCAATTTCTAACTTACTAACTTTTTTCAGATTTAATAACTTATAATATAAAATCTTTCAAATAATTTTTGTTTATTATTCACCTAACTACGGCAATGATTTTCATTCTATAACTTCTTCGTAAGTTTGATTTAAAGAAAAAAAAATAATTTTTTTTGGATAAGTTCAAATTTTCTTTAAAATAAATTATACTTAACGTTAAATGAATTTTTCTTGATTAATAGCTACGAGATACGAAGAAATTCGGAGATCCGAAGCCATCCGTCGGAAATGCGGGATATCTGACGTATCTGATGAAAATTTATTTTAAATTTTTTTAAGAAAACTTTTACTACTCTGAACTTGAACGAACCGAACTTGGGGTTTGTGGTGTACAAAGGTGGGTATTCTTTTTCAGCTATTTGCACTTTAAAAACGTTATGTAACGTTACTTTATTTATTTTTTTAGAACGCCAAACTGAAAGGACCCGAAACCTTGAAATCTTTGAAACTTTGATCGTAAGTCACTTTAGTAGTTTTTTTCTTTTCTTTATTTTTTTTTTATTGAAAAAAAATTAAAAATATAATTGACAATTAGGACTTACTTCCGATCCAAGATTCAAAGTTTCAAGGTTCCCGACCGTTCTACAAAAGTAAGAAGTAAGTTATACTGTAGTCTTAGTATTTTATAAAAATAAATAACTATTAAAACTTACTTCTAATCCAAGATTCCAAGGTTATAAGGTCCTAAAAGAAAAGTTTCTAAAAGACGAATAGATAAAAAAACAAAATTAAATAAATCATAACGTTTTTAAAATATAAAAATATATCCGATAAGTTTTAGGATTGAGATTTTTTGATCCGAATGATTCGTTTTGTTGTTGGATTCATCTAGTAACTGTCTGTTATAATTGTTATTATATTAGCAAAGAGTTACACTGTATGACACGATAGTGTTCGTAGTTATGAGACCATTTCAGTGCTGAGTAATGGCCAATATGCATAGTAATGATAATTCTATACTGAGGGGTAACGAATAGGATGCCATTAAATGGTTCATTACAAAAGGAGCAAATTGATAAGGATATTAATTATTTTCGATAAAGTTGAATTTGATACTTACGTGAATCAAGAATAACGTTGAAAGCGGTATTGAATATTGCATCTATTTTAGTAAAGCAATATCTACCACTTATCCTATCAAATTGATCATTTCTTTCAATGAAAAAATAAAATCTTTTTCTTGTATTATTTCTTAATGCAGGACCTAGTATTATGTCCGATAAAAATTTGCTCGGTACTCACCGTATTATCAGAATTTTGGATAAATTTCACAAGGTACTTGTGAACCATCAAGATATTATTCTTTAAGAATAAGAACTTTCAAATTTGATTCAGTGTAAAAGTAAAGTTTAGAAGATCAGTTTAATGAATAAGTATAATATATAGGATTAAAAGTTTTTGCACCAAAGTTATTATTATTTATTTACGAAAATAAAGATTCAATTTGTATTTTACTCTCAATGACATCACAGTTATCTTAGAAATTTTATTTATATATAATTACATTATAAAAATTTCTTAAAAAACCATGGAAACCATTTATGATAAATATCAACACAAATTTTTTATTTAATTTATAGAATAATTATACAACTCTTATGACAAGACTAAAAATATCAGAAAGAAATATAATAAATAATATAGGTAACTTACATGATCGATCGACTTTTGATTACGTCCAAGGATGGGGTATCCAATACGGCTCGACTATCGACTGCGCTACGCTACAAGGATGAGGGATATCCAACAGGACTCGGGTTGCGTGAGCACCCACTCATGAAACAGTTTTTGATTCACATAAGGAAAGATGGCATAGCAATTCCTTCGACAGAAAATCGCAGACCCTTATCAAGTAAACCACATTCAAGAGCAGTTGTACCGGCCCTTTTCAATTTTAGATGACTGACAATTAAAGTTGGTCCCCTCATCACGTTCGAGAAGTAAATTTAAAAAAAAGAAAATGATAAATTACGAAAAACAAATTAATGTATTCCTAATAAAATCAAGAATATTAAACATTAACGAGGTATAACGCTAATACATCACATTATTATTTTGTTTATATTCTTGTCTTGTTAATAAGAGTGGTCATTTATCGTGAGAAAAATGAAAAAGGAAGAAGCTTTGAATCAATATCATAGATTTAAAATAAAATTCTACATTAATTAACAAAAAAAAAAAAATAGGTACGGAGTTCTTTACAAGTAAGATAATATCTCTCACTAAAAGAAATATAAAAGCCGGGAGAATTTAATTTTATAAAAGAATGAGGTAATAGAAAAGATTAATTGGACATAATTTTGTGTTGAAATATAAGGTACGATGGGAAAAGTGTGCTAAAAACTTGCCCGCTTCTTTGTTTCTTTTATAAAGAAAAAGATCTTGTCTACATTAAAGGAGACACAAGCTAAATTTAGTAAGTACACTTCGTGTGTGAATATTTTGTGATATAATATTTCTTTATTGTAAAATCAAGTACAAATTTAGAAGAAATTGTAATTTATAAACATCAATTTTGGATGAGGAATATTTTTATACAGTAATGAAACATAATTTTTTGCATATGGCGAAACAATTTTCCATTTTTTTGAAAAAAATACAAATAAATCAAAAGGAACGTCGACTATTGAACAATTCACTGACGGAAATTCATTAAAAAAGTTTTACTCTGTTACTGGATACAAAGTTTCCTTTGATGTAACTATGTATAAATTGTTTCTTGGATTATTTACCAAATTTTTTTTTTTTTTTTGAATTTGACCGTTTCTGGAAATTCGATCTCGTTTAGGGAGCAGTCCTCAATTGCACCGTTTCAAGTTCCATGCAATGATCATCAGCCAATGTGATCCAATAGTTATTGTTTATTTTCTGCAAAAAAGATTTCCCACGATTATTGCGCACTTTTTTTTTTTATTATAAATATTTCAAAATTTAAAAAATTTTTTTTAAAAAATGCTTTTCTACTTTCAGCAGGGTAAATCATAACATAGCCGATATTTTTTCTCATCGTTAATACAACCTTCGCAACCAGCAAGAAGCTCGTTAACAAAGTCTCGATAGCTTAGACTGGAACAACTTCTTTAAAGGAGCAAGGAGTATGGCTTTCCATTTCATGTCATGTTAAACTTCATGAATAATCTACTATTAATAATTTTCTCAGGGAGGGATGTCGTAGGCATTTTTGCTTGTTCTTGTGACTACGCTCTCTCTTTCTACTTCTGTAGCTTGAATATTAAATATTAGATTAGTTTAGATAGTCTTTCTTTTCATGTATCTTTTTGTTTCTTATGTATCTTTTTCAAATATTCAATAAAAATTTTTCCAAACTTTTGCCTTTATCAGTTTGCTATTAAAATCGAGTTACGAACATAGTAAATCATATGGTCCGTAATTTCTCTCTCTCTCTCTCTCTCTCTTTTCTAAGATTGTTTTCATCTTGATTGAATCGTTATAAATTATATAATAAACACATGTACTAATTTTGTTCGACCAATTTCCCAATTGTGCTCCCAAACAGACTTGTTCTTAAAATGATGTTTCATTTAGCAATAAATCACCAAAACGGCAAATCTTTCAGATATATTAAACTCATACCTTTTACCTTTTTGAAGCGTAAACCTAACGAATATAAAACAACCCGATTAGAAAATCCCTTTTGTAATACGATACTCTGAAAATGTCTATGAAGCCAATATGCATTTACAAAAAAAAAAAAATAATAATAATTTTACATCTCCCTACTAAATATTATGCCTTGTCAGAGCTAGCTCGAACATATTTCAAAAGACAGAAAAAAAAGTTCACTGAACAATGTCCTAGTCAATTTATTATATACTAACTTTTATTGTATTGATTCAGCAATAATAACATCTTTAGGATCTTTTTTTTTTTTTTTGAAATCTCTCTGTTATTTATAAAAGTGATAAATGGTTGGAGTTTTCTAAATTTTTTATGATCAAAGAAGGCTTCGATCAAGAAAAGAGAAGTTCCGGCTAAATTTCTTTATTTGTTAGACTATTTTATTGTAAACTAACTGGTATTTTAAATTCTTCATAGTCATTATTGTACTTGTTATATCTTGTGCTGCTATTTCGTTTTTTGGTCCCTCTTTTTTTCGCAGGTTGCTTTAGTAATAATTTTTTATTATCTTTAAGTTTTTTTTTGGCATGTATATATATTGGTTTGATAATAATAAAAATGATTTTTTTAAAGAAAAAAGTAATCCAAAAAATGTCTTTGTTTTTATTATTATATTTATATAGAACTATACAACAAAAAAATGAAAGGTCTATGCTTTTTTTACTTGAAACATTTGCTTGAATTGGTTTCTTTACAAAAAAAAAAAAAATAAAAATAAAAATACTTTAATATTTTGGTACACATAAAAGCAAATCGACAATTATGTTATTAATATCGCATCGCATATTTACACTAGCGATTGATCATTTTATTTTAAAATAAACTTCACATGCCTCTTATCATTTCTTTGATAATCATCACCTTTTGAGTTTTCTGAATTTCCCGATCTAACTAAACGTAGCATGGAGCGAGAAGAGAGCCTAAGTGAATTTTTTTTTATTCCCAGTTTCATGTCGCAAGTTCCATTCTTGGCACGGTTTGTCTGTCCTTCTGCGATATGTACAAGAAACCCTCTGGAGATAGGTAACCAGCTTCATTCGGTTCGAAGCTTTTGATTTAAAAAAATTAATCGGTACATTGAACCTCTTGCAGCTGCTGTTTTCGGAAACGTTTGGTTTATATATATATTCATGGATCAAAAAACAGAATGTGCTAGTGAAAGACGAGAGAAGGATAAAGAAAAGAGGACAAACAAAAAGGCGTGTTCGCAGCTAAGAAATGCTTGCCATTCGTTGTTTTAAAGTTGGGAAAACATAAAAATAAATGAAATTCAAATGAAAATACCGAAGTAGGCCAACCCTAAAAAATGAAAAAAATGAAAAAATTTTATAAAATATAAAAATAAATAAAATAAGTCGAATTTAAACCTAATCATCAAAAAAAAAAAAAATATGTAAATAAGAAAAAACCTACCCGGAAATTCAAATCATTCAAAGGCAAAAAAAAAATCATCAAACCAAAACCAAAATAAAACCAAATTCATTTTCTTACAGCTTATAGAGTTGGGTTCGATCGCTTTGAGCCTCAGTAATTGAATATATACTGTATTTTTGAAATTATCGTCCGTCCTCAGTCCAAAAAATCCGAAAGCTCTAGGTTTTTTTGGTTTGGATTCCGGAAGTATTAGGTAAAGAACAATCAATTTTTTATTTTTATTTATTCTCGATCTAGCCAGATTTAAGTTTGTGTTAAGGATGTTCATTGCTGATTGGTTCTAAGATTCTTATAAATGTAAGACTTTTTTTTAAATGGATTTGCAAAATATTCGTCTCCTCATTACATTTTTAAAAAAAGAATTATGTTGAAACAATTTTTTCCCAAATTAAGTCAAAATTATATTGAAATTTTGGATGATAACGAATATTATGATATTACAATTGAAGTAGGGAAAGACCCGAACGTGAAAATATTTCGTGCGCACATGAATATTTTGTGTTACCGTTCTCCATTTCTTCGACGAACTTTGGATTCCAATAAGAATAATGATGGCACCCTAACTCACATTAAGTTGCCAAATATTTCACCAGAAATCTTTCAAATTATTTTGAAGTAAGATTTTGTAAATGTTTTTTTTTTTTGCATATTAAGAATTAAGTTAATATTAAAATTAATTCTTTTTTTTTTTTTTTTTTTTTTTTGGTAATTAAGATATATTTATGGAGGGATCATTAAATGAACAATGTATATCAGATGCTTTAAAAATATTGACTGCTGCTGACGAGCTTCATCTACAAGAACTAGTTGAATATTTGCAAAAATATCTAATTGAAAATAAAGCCGAATTGATGGAACAACATTTTGAGCTTACTCATAAAATAAGCTTTCAATCTAATTCTTTGTTGAATCTTCAACAATTTTGCACGGATGTTATCGCTAAAACCCCTGAAAAGTATTTAAGTCGCTTGATTTTACTTCGGTTTCCGAAAAACTTTTAATTTCACTTATAGAGAGAGACGATTTACAGATGAAAGAAGTTGATATTTGGGAGTATGTAATAAGATGGGGTCTTGAAAAAAATCCCACACTTATTCCAGATCCTATAACTTGGACGGATGATGATTTCAAAATGATGAAAGATACTTTACAACATTGTTTACCCTTAATTAGATATTTTAGTTTATCTTCTGATGAATTCATCCAAAAGATTCATCCATACAAAAAGCTTTTGGAACATCAACTTTATGATGAATTGTTAAATTCTTATTTGAATTCTAACAGCGAACCAACCGACAGTATTTTACTCCCAAGGTGTAGAAATATCAATGGAATTATCGACACTACTATTGTTAATTTAAATATTGTTTCTATAATTTCAAGATGGATTGATAAAGTGGAAATTACAAACAAATTTGCTCATTTAAGAGAAATTTATTTGCCGTATAAATTTAAATTATTATTGCGAGGAAGCAGATTGATTCAATCCTGAAAAATTTCATGAATTATGTGATAATATACTTTATACAGTTACCTTCATTAGAGTAAGAGATACGAAAGAAATTCTTGGAGGATATAATCCTTTAAAATGGAAATCTTCTGGTTATTATTGTAAATCAAAAGATAGTTTTATATTTTCTTTTAAGAATAAGGATAATTTCAAAGATCCAATCTTAAGCCGTGTAAGGTTTACAGATAAAGCATTTTATTGTTGCGATTGGTATGGTCCCTCATTTGGTAGTGATCTTTGTTTAAAGAGTTTTATTAAAGAAAATGCTTATAAAGAGATTTATTGCAAAAAAAGCGGATATGAAAAAAGGATAAGAGAT